AATTCCATGCTGTCACAGTCACTAGCCCATTTAAGCTTAATATACTTGTCATCTATCGCCCTCCAGGTTCCCTTGGAGAGTTCATCAATGAGCTTGACGCCTTGATAAGTTCCTTTCCTGAGGATGGCTCACCCCTCACAGTTTTGGGGGATTTCAACCTCCCTATGTCCACATTTGACTCATTTCTCTCTGCCTCCTTCTTTCCACTTCTCTCCTCTTTTGACCTCACCCTCTCACCGTCCCCCCCTACTCACAAGGCAGGCAATACGCTTGACCTCATCTTTACTAGATGCTGCTCTTCTACTAATCTCACTGCAACTCCCCTCCATGTCTCCGACCACTACTTTGTTTCCTTCTCTCTCTCGCTCTCCTCCCACACTACTCACTCTGCCCCTACACAGATGGTAATGCGCCGCCGCAACCTTCGCTCTCTCTCTCCCACTACTCTCTCCTCTTCCATCCTATCATCTCTTCCCTCTGCTCAATCCTTCTCCCTCCAATCTCCTGATTCTGCCTCCTCAACCCTCCTCTCCTCCCTTTCTGCATCCTTTGACTCTCTGTGTCCCCTATCCTCCCGGCCGGCTCGGTCCTCCCCTCCAGCTCCGTGGCTCGATGACTCATTGCGAGCTCACAGAACAGAGCTCCGGGCAGCGGAGCGGAAATGGAAGAAAACTAAACTCCCTGCCGACCTGGCATCTTTTCACTCCCTCCTCTCTACATTTTCCTCATCTGTTTCTGCTGCTAAGGCCACTTTCTAACACTCTAAATTCCAAGCATCTGCCTCTAACCCTAGGAAGCTCTTTGCCACATTTTCCTCCCTCCTGAATCCTCCCCCCCCCCGCCCCCCCCCATCTCTCTCTCTGTGGATGACTTCGTCAACCACTTTGAAAAGAAGGTTGACGACATTCGATCCTCGTTTGTTAAGTCTAATGACACTGCTGGTCCTACTCACACTGCCCTACCCAATGCTTTGACTTCTTTCTCCCCTCTCTCTCCAGATAAAATCCTGCGACTTGTGACTGCAGGCCGCCCAACAACCTGCCCGCTTGACCCCATCCCCTCCTCTCTTCTCCAGACCATCTCCGGTGACCTTCTCCCCTACCTCACCTCGCTGATCAACTCATCCTTGACCGCTGGCCATGTCCCTTCCGTCTTCAAGAGAGCGAGAGTTGCTCCCCTTCTCAAGAAACCAACACTCGATCCCACTGATGTCAACAACTACAGACCAGTATCCCTTCTTTCTTTTCTTTCCAAAACTATTGAGCGTGCCGTCTTTAGCCAACTCTCTTGCTATCTCTCTCAGAATGACCTTCTTGATCCAAACCAGTCAGGTTTCAGGACTGGTCATTCAACTGAGACTGCTCTTCTATGTGTCACAGAGGCTCTCCGCACTGCTAAAGCTAACTCTCTCTCCTCTGCTCTTGTCCTTCTAGACCTGTCTGCTGCCTTTGATACTGTGAACCATCAGATCCTCCTCTCCACCCTCTCCGAGCTGGGCATCTCCGGCGCGGCTCACTCCTGGATTGCGTCCTACCTGACCGGTCGCTCCTACCAAGTGGCGTGGCGAGAAGCTGTCTCCGCACCACGTGCTCTCACCACTGGTGTCCCCCAGGGCTCAGTTCTAGGCCCTCTCCTTTTCTCCCTATACACCAAGTCACTTGGCTCTGTCATATCCTCACATGGCCTCTCCTATCATTGCTACGCTGACGATACACAACTAATCTTCTCCTTTCCCCCTTCTGATAACCAGGTGGCGAATGGCATCTCTGCATGTCTGGCAGACATATCAGTATGGATGACGGATCACCACCTCAAGCTGAACCCTGGCAAGACGGAGCTGCTCTTCCTCCCGGGGAAGGACTGCCCGTTCCATGATCTCGCCATCACGGTTGACAACTCCGCTGTGTCCTCCTCCCAGAGTGCGAAGAGCCTAGGCGTGACCCTGGACAACACCCTGTCGTTCTCCGCCAACATCAAGGCGGTGACCCGCTCCTGCAGGTTCATGCTCTACAACATTCGGAGAGTACGACCCTGCCTTACACAGGAAGCGGCACAGGTCCTAATCCAGGCACTTGTCATCTCCCGTCTGGACTACTGCAACTCGCTGTTGGCTGGCCTCCCTGCCTGTGCCATCAAACCCCTACAACTCATCCAGAATGCCGCAGCCCGTCTGGTGTTCAACCTTCCCAAGTTCTCTCACGTCACCCCCCTCCTCCGCACACTCCACTGGCTTCCAGTTGAAGCTCGCATCCGCTACAAGACCATGGTGCTTGCCTATGGAGCAGTGAGGGGAACGGCACCTCTGTACCTTCGGGCTCTGATCAGTCCCTACACCCAAACGAGGGCATTGCGTTCATCCACCTCTGGCCTGCTGGCTCCCCTTCCTCTGCGGAAGCATAGTTCCTGCTCAGCCCAGTCAAAACTGTTCGCTGCTCTGGCACCCCAATGGTGGAACAAGCTCCCTCACGACGCCAGGACAGCGGAGTCACTCACCACCTTCCGGAGGCATTTGAAACCCCACCTCTTTAAGGAATACCTGGGATAGGATAAAGTAATCCTTTGGTGAGTCGCTCTGGATAAGAGTGTCTGCTAAATGACTAAAATGTAAATGTAAATGTAGAATAACAACAACAAAATCCAGAAAAACACATGTCAAAAATGTTATATATTGATTTGCATTTTAATGAGGGAAATAAGTATTTGACCCCCTCTCAATCAGAAACATTTCTGGCTCCCAAGTGTCTTTTATACAGGTAACGAGCTGAGATTAGGAGCACACTCTTAAAGGGAGTGCTCCTAATCTCAGTTTGTTACCTGTATAAAAGACACCTTTCCACAGAAGCAATCAATCAATCAGATTCCAAACTCTCCACCATGGCCAAAACCAAAGCGCTCTCCAAGGATGTCAGGGACAAGATTGTAGACCTACACAAGGCTGGAATGGGCTACAAGACCATCGCCATTGCAGTTTGGTGATAAGGTGACAACAGTTGGTGTGATTATTCGCAAATGGAAGAAACACAAAAGACCTGTCAATCTCCCTCGGCCTGGGGCTCCATGCAAGATCTCACCTCGTGGAGTTGCAATGATCATGAGAACGGTGAGGAATCAGCCCAGAACTACACGGAAGGATCTTGTCAATGATCTCAAGGCAGCTGGGACCATAGTCACCAAGAAAACAATTGGTAACACACTACGCCGTGATGGACTGATATCCTGCAGCGCCCGCAAGGTCCCCCTGCTCAAGAAAGCACATTTACAGGGCCGTCTGAAGTTTGCCAATGAACATCTGAATGATTCAGAGGAGAACTGGGTGAAAGTGTTGTGGTCAGATGAGACCAAAATGGAGCTCTTTGGCATCAACTCAACTTGCCGTGTTTGGAGGAGGAGGAATGCTGCCTATGACCCCAATAACACCATCCCCACCGTCAAACATGGAGGTGGAAACATTATGCTTTGGGGGTGTTTTTCTGCTAAGTGGACAGGACAACTTCACCGCATCAAAGGGACGATGGACAGGGCCATGTACCGTCAAATCTTGGGTGAGAACGTCCTTCCCTCAGCCAGGGCATTGAAAATGGGTCGTGGATGGGTATTCCAGCATGACAATAACCCAAAACACATGGCCAAGGCAACAAAGGAGTGGCTCAAGAAGAAGCACATTAAGGTCCTGGAGTGGCCTAGCCAGTCTCCAGACCTTAATCCCATAGAAAATATGTGGAGGGAGCTGAAGGTTTGAGTTGCCAAACGTCAGCCTCGAAACCTTAATGACTTGGAGAAGATCTGCAAAGAGGAGTGGAACAAAATCCCTCCTGAGATGTGTGCAAACCTGGTGGCCAACTACAAGAAACATCTGACCTCTGTGATTGCCAACAAGGGTTTTGCCACCAAGTACTAAGTCATGTTTTGCAGAGGGGTCAAATACTTATTTCCCTCATTAAAATGCAAATCAATTTATAAAATTTTTAACATGCGTTTTTCTGGATTTTGTTGTTGTTATTCTGTCTCTCACTGTTCAAATAAACCTACCATTAAAATTATAGACTGATCATGTCTTTGTCAGTGGGCAAACGTACAAAATCAGCAGGGGATCAAATACTTTTTTCCCTCACTATATATATATATATATATATATATATATATATATATATGTGTGTGTTTGTTATGGGTGGAGTAATAAAACTTTATACGTATTCCTGCGCCTGTCTTCTAATCATTATACAACATGACAGAATAATCAACCCATAAAAATGGAGACAGCGGGAAAGGCCGAGCTGACGACCATCGTAGAGACAGTCCAACATCACGAGGACTGTCTCTCCAGACTCGGCAGCGCCATGGACAGCGTGCTAGCAACCATCCTGCGGTTGGAGGGGAAAGTGCAGTCCCTCCAGTCTTCAGCACTGGTTCCGGCACCAGCCCCCACACCACCACTACCTGCCTCTGTTTCATCTGAGCCGGACCGCGGAATACCCATGTCCCTCCCGGAGCGCTTTGATGGCGCGCCAGCAAGATGCAAGGGATTCCTTCTGCAATGCGATCTGTACCTCGTTCGCTACGCCGAGGCTGTCTCCGGGAGAGACAGGGTTGCCACAGTCATCTCGGCACTGACCATACGGGCCCTGGACTGGGGTGCCGCGGTTTGGGAAGCGGTCGGACATGAGGTCAAGTCCTACGAGCGCTTCACCCTCCTCTTCCACTCGGTGTTTGATAATCCTGTGGAGGGCCGAGAGGGGGATGAGCATCTACTCCGACTACGCCAGGGATCTAGGACCGCCTCGGAGTTTGCCCTGGAGTTCCGGAACATCGCGGCCTCGTCGGCTCTGGTCACCGTGTTCCGCAGCGGTCTGCAGGAGGAGGTACAGATGGAGTTAGCCTGCCGTCAGCAGCTCGACCAGCTCATCAGCATGGCGATCCGGTTGGAGAACCTCCTGCGGTCCGGATGAAAAGTTGCGCAGAATCCGGAGCCCATGGCTACACCTGCTCCGTGGCCAGAGCCGATGGAGGTGTGCTCTGCACATTTGCCCGAGGCAGAGCGTAGGAGAAGGAGGAATCTGGGCGTCTGCTCCTATGGTGGAAAAAGGGGTAACTTCTCCCTGACCTGCCATCTATCCACAAATAGGCGAGGAGGTGACAAGCCAGGAAATTCCCCTGCTCCAACCCAGGCAGAGGAGAGAGGAAGAAAATACCCCCATCATCCCTCCGTTCTGTTTCATCGCGCCAGTGGTGTGGGACGTGGGTGCCGACATACGGCAGGCCCTGCGTACAGAACCCGCTCCTGCTCAGTGCCCGGAGAACCGCGCCTATGTGCCCACTGGTGTGCCGGACCGCCTCCTTTCCTGGGCGCACACGGCACCTGTGTCGGGTCATCCTGGTATAGGCCATACCATCACCTGCCTGACTGAGAAGTATTGGTGGCCCACCTTGGCTATGGACGTCCGGGTTTACGTCTCTTCCTGCTCCATCTGTGCCCAGTCTAAGACACCCAGACACCTCCCTTATGGTGTTCTCGTCGTTGTGGACCAGTTTTCCAAAGCTTAACGCATCCTTCCTCTGCCTGGGTTCGCCATCGGCCATGCAAACCGTGGAGGCTCTTTTTACGCACGCCTTCCGGCACTACAGGATGCCGGAGGACATTGTGTCAGATCGTGGTCCTCAGTTCACCTCACGCTTATGGAAAGCGTTCATGGAACGCCTGGGGGTCACGGTCAGTCTCACCTCCGGGTACCGTCCTCAAGCTAATTGGCAGGTGGAGTGGGTCAATCAGGAAGTGGGCAGGTTCCTGAGGTGTTACTGTACGCGCAGAATTCCCTCTGCCACTCATCCATTAACCTCACTCCTTTCCAGTGCATGTTGGGGTATCAGCCAGACCTTGGCATCCGAACCAGACCGAGGCCCCTGCGGTGGACCAGTGGTTTCGGCACACTGAGGAGATCTGGAACGCTGCTCACACTCGTCTCCAGCGGGCCATGCGTTGGCACAAGGAACACTCTCCACCCGGAACCTGCCCCTCCGCTTGCCCTCCTGGAAGCTGAGCCCGCGGTGTGTGGGGCCGTTTAAAGTCCTGAGGAGGGTTAATGAGGTAACGTACAATTTGCAACTCCATGCTGATTACCACATTAACCCAACTTTTCATGTGTCTCTCCTCAGGCCAGTGGTGCCTGGTCCCCTCGCTGAGGCTGGACCCAGTGATGCCCCACATCCTCCTCTGGACATCGATGGAGGTCTGGCGTACTCGGTCCGTGAAGTCCTGGACTAGAGGCGTTGGGCTGGGCGTCTCCAGTACCTCATCGACTGGGAGGGGTACGGCCCAGAGGAGCGGTGCTGGGTTCCTGCGGTGGACATCCTGGAAGCTTCGCTGACCTGGACTTTCACCGTTGGCACCCTGACCGACCCACACTGCGTCCTTGTGGTCGTCCCAGAGGCCGGTGTGATCCAAATTACCAAAACACAGCCTACTACAGTGAGATGCAGCCATGCACAGCTATCTTGCCAAATAAATAGTCCTATAGGCCTGCTTCAAACATTAAAAATTAGCCGCTAATGAGTTCTGCAACACGTTGTGATATGGCACAATACACTTCTGTGGATCAAATTCGACTCACGTAATCAATTAAGCAATGCCAGCCTACCATAAACACATTTCCAATACGTACAGTTCCATTTACAACCACAAAAACCAATAGGCTACCAAGAAAACCATAATACAATGTATCTATTTCTATGATGGTCCTCTGTAGCTCAATTGGTAGAGTATAGCGTAAGTCGCTTTGGATAAAAGCGTCTGCTAAATGGCTTATTATTATTTATCATATTATTATGATGAAACATACCGATACGTAGCTATACCCAGGGGCATCATTTGAGTTCTTGTATTGGAATTATGCTGAATTCTGCTTATATCACGCTATACCACAATAAAAATAAAAGTTCAAATGCTTTTGACCAAGAAGTGTCAGGTTGGCGCGAAATCACAGCTGCGCTCTATCAGCACCATGGACAGCACCCTACAACACTAAAACAATATTTGGATAAAAACCAACCAGCTAGATTGCTTCTGACCTTTTCAGAAGAGTTGAAACCTCCTTGATGCTCTGTGGAACTTCCTGAGTAATCAATAATTCCATTCTCCTCACAAACGTATTGTAAGATACTCCTCAAATGCCAGTTGGAATAGTTGAGCTTTCCTCGGGTGTAGCATGCTTCTTCTCTGCTGACTGAACACGTTTGTCAAATAGGAAAATGAATTCTCGCATGTAGCTGTGGATGCCCCAAAAGTCAATCCATGTTTCAATGCAGTATGCACGGTCGGCATAGCGGAGAGAGGCCCAGATAATCGTTGCAGGACATTAAGTTGGGTCCATTTGGAACGCCGATTTCAGTCTGCAAAAACTGGCGAGTGAAACTACACTCAGCTTCTACCAAATCTGGTTTGTTTAGATCCAGCAGTGGTTTCACCTTTTTCACATCTACAAAGTCAAGGGCACACAGGGCCTCCACCAGTTGGCTATTGCGTTCGCTGAATCGTTCTGACATTTCACCAATGACAGCATCCATCTCTTCTCTGTCCTGCTGGCCTACTGTACTGTCCACCACTTTTGCTGGAGATATGCACTTACATAACTTTCTCGTTTGCTTGGAGCTGGTGGTGTGTCAGTGCCACTGGCATTGCACTGTGCCCAAATGGCTTCGAACTCGCTGTCACACCTCAGCTTCTCAAAGCACTCCAACGCACTGCAGACCACTTTGACTCCAGCGTAAAGATTATGTGCACCATGGTGGCTGTAAACTTAAAGCCGGGGTCCGTCACCTCCTTCAGCAGCCTTAAAACCTTGAGTCTTACTTCTGTGCTGCACGAACACAGGCATCGATGTCAGAGAGGAACTTCACAATGCTGTCACAACTTTTAACGAGTGACAATGGATATATTTTCACATCCAGTAGGATCCTTGGTCCCGTCTACCTTCAGTGTAAGAATCAAGATTCTCAGATTTCTTTAACTATTTCCTCAGTGACAATCTCACTATGATTTCATTTAGAATATCATGTGACATTTATGTGGCATTGTGGGGTATGGTGCTAAAAACCTTGGCAAGTTCCTTGTCTTTTCGAAGAGTATTGAAAAATCCACTGCCCCCCTCCCCTCTTGACTCTATCGCGTCCAATGTCCCCCTCAGTGGTTGCTTGTTTGAAACAAGGAACTCAATAGGCTAACCTGGGCTGGCTCCTCTGTTCCAAGATCGTCAGGAACAGTTGGAGGTAGAGGGGGCTGTGAAGCCATTATCCTGGCGGCGCTCGTGGAAGAGGGGGAAGACGGGCTTGGCAGCAGCCTCGGTGGTGGTTTGATTCTAAGCTCTGTAGTGGTGGGGTGTGAGGCAGAGTTGAGTGAAGCAGCTTCAACTGTAAACCTGACCCCGCCCTTATTAATCAAAATGTAATATTACAGGCAGAGGTGTATCATGTTATTCACTTAGCCTACCACAGATGAGAAGCATTTTTTCCCGCTTTTTATGGAAACCCAAAGGAGTCATACCTAATCGCCCCAGTGGCTTTCCAATTCCATAGCCCCCCTACACACCATGGCGTGCTCTGACCATTGTGCTGACACAACGAAGCGGAGATACAGATTTTGTGCCAACCTATCACTCAATGATTATAACCTTTTTGCAATTACTATATAGGGACATAAAACGAAAACTGAGGGTGCACAAGTTTAAATTGAGGGGCCTAAGCCCCCTGTTGCCCCCTCATGGAACCGGGTATGCATTCAGCAACTACACCTAATAACATTGGTCCCAAGGTTGCTACCCAAGCCGTCTGGTTGTTCGTTCATTGCATTGTTTCCAGCCAAGGTTCACTGGTCGTTAGTTTGATTGGCAGATTGCTATGGCAAACAAAAATGGTTGATATGGAGGGTTTTCCCCCTTGCTAGCTAGCAAACTACACAGCTAACACAATCACTTCAGACTGAATGTCACGCTCTGGCTCCGGGACTGTGTATTTTGAGCCAGGGTGTGTTCATTTGGTTGTGTTTGGTTTTGGTTGTGTTTCCTTGTTTGGTCGTGTGACTCCCAATCAGTGGTAACGAGTGTCAGCTGTCGGCTCGTTATCTCTGATTGGGAGCCATATTTAAACTGTCAGTGTTCACCTTAGTGTTGTGGGTTTTTGTTCCTTGTCAGTCATTGTCACTGTGGACTTTACGATCGTGTTTTGTTTTGTTTCGTGTACTTTACCAATTAAAGTCATGTTCGTATCGCACGCTGCGCCTTGGTCCACTCATTTCGTAGACGATCGTGACGGAAAAACCCACCATCAAAGGACCAAGCAGCGTGTCCAGGAATAGGCAGCCTGGATGTGGGAGCAGCGTCGGAGGGACGAGAGGCACCCCCAATAATTTTTTAGGGGGGGGCACAGGGCATGGACGACGGGGCTGACGGAGGCAGAGAAGGGGCGAATTCAAAAGGCCACCAGGTTACGGGGGCCACTGGTCAAAGTAGGGAAAGGAGGTTTAGAGGCACGGCGAGAGGTACTGGGGTGTGTTACCAGTCCGGTCCGGCCCGTTCCAGTTCCCGGAGTAGAGCCAGTGGTGTGTGTCCCCAGTACGGTCCGGCCTGTTACGGCCCCTCGCACCAAATGGACGGTGCGCGTCTCCAGCCCGGTCCGGCCTGTTCCTGCCTCTCGCACAAAGCCTACGGTGTGCGTCGCCAGCCCAGCTCGGCCTATCCCTGCTCCACGCACCAAGCCTACGGGGTGCGTTGCCAGCCCAGCCCGGCCTGTCCCTGCTCTACGCACAAAGCCTACGGTGTGCGTCGCCAGCCCAGCCCGGCCTGTCCCTGCTCTACGCACAAAGCCTACGGTGTGCGTTGCCAGCCCAGCCCGGCCTGTCCCTGCTCTACGCACAAAGCCTACGGTGTGCGTCGCCAGCCCAGCCCGGCCTGTTCCTGCTCCACGCACAAGGCCTACGGTGTGCGTCGCCAGCCCAGCCCGGCCTGTTCCTGCTCCACGCACAGAGCCTACGGTGTGCGTCGCCAGCCCAGCCCGGCCTGTTCCTGCTACTCGCACCAAGCCAAGGGTGCGAGTCGTCAGCCTGGTCCAGCCCGTTCCTGCTACTCGCACCAAGCCAAGGGTGCGAGTCGTCAGCCTGGTTCAGCCCGTTCCTGCTACTCGCACCAAGCCAAGGGTGCGAGTCGTCAGCCTGGTTCAGCTCGTCCCTGCTACTCGCACCAAGCGAAGGGTGCGAGTCGTCAGCCGGATTCAGCCCATTCCTGCTACTCGCACCAAGCCAGGGGTGTGCGTCGTCAGCCCAGCTCGGCCTGTTCCGGCTCCACGCACCATGCAAAGGGTGCGTATCGTCTGCCAGGTCCTTTTGGGGGGGGTACTGTCACGCTCTGGCTCCGGGACTGTGTATTTTGAGCCAGGGTGTGTTCATTTGGTTGTGTTTGGTTTTGGTTGTGTTTCCTTGTTTGGTCGTGTGACTCCCAATCAGTGGTAACGAGTGTCAGCTGTCGGCTCGTTATCTCTGATTGGGAGCCATATTTAAACTGTCAGTGTTCACCTTAGTGTTGTGGGTTTTTGTTCCTTGTCAGTCATTGTCACTGTGGACTTTACGATCGTGTTTTGTTTTGTTTCGTGTACTTTACCAATTAAAGTCATGTTCGTATCGCACGCTGCGCCTTGGTCCACTCATTTCGTAGACGATCGTGACACTGAAGCTGGAAAGATAACAAACTAGCTGCATTTAGTTTCATTTGTTTTGTTTTTCTATTGACATTTATTTTGTATATATACAAACAAATTATGCTGATCCATGATTACGAATGGCTGAGAAAAGCTGCCTGTGTCTGTCTTGTCCCAACACGTTCATTACTATGGTGTTAGGTCAAGTGACAAAACCTGTATGCTGAGCAAGAATTCTACTGTTTGATGCTGGTACTCACTTTATAAATCATTATATTATGATAAACTGTTAATTCAAATGAAATATTTTTAGATAAATATCTTCCTTAATATATTGTGAATAACATGTGTAGATGTCAATGTTGTCTGATTAACCAACCGTTCGTGAACATGTCTCTCTGATATTGGGGGAGCTCCCTGAATCAGTGGGGCCAAAGCGGTTTGACACTTCTGACAACCACTTTCACTCTCTTGAAAATACTGCTTTCACATTCATCCATTTCAGGAGGTGTTATCTTGTCCAATCATAAGTATCACCTCTAAGTATACAAATTGACTGACGTCTGGATTTGTAGAGCAAGCGCAAAAATCGCCTGAGTGAGACATTTGATGAAACGCCCCAAAAAAAAGCAATCGTAGATTTACAGTGAGTAGGTGGCTAACAAGCTGTTTAGCTAGCTAACGTTAGCTTACTGAGGGAGAGAGTGGGGCATTGGCTGGCTACAGCAGATATTTTATCCTCTCTCTCCGTGCTCTATGTCTCTCTCGTTCTCTCGATTTGGTGAAACTAAAATAAACATTCATACATTTAAACCGCAGGTTCTTAGAAACAATTTGATATGCAGCAATTGACACTACATTTAGAATTGCAGATGCGACCGGAGATTAACCACGGAGGTGACAAGCTGTTTTTAGCAAGTCTGCTAGCTAGCTAGTTAATTGAGGGTGAGAGAGGAATGTTGCTTGGCACCTCTCTTGTCTCTCTCTCGCTCTCTCAGACACACACACACACAAAGGAGAGAGATAAAGGAAGGGAAGAGTAGGGGTAGAAGAGATGGGAGGGAAGGGAAAGCGAGGATGATAAATGCCCTCAGCAAGCACTGCCAGTTTACACACACACACATTTGTGTGAAATTACAGATGCTCATTCTGTTTTTGTTTGTTTGATTTCAATAGGCCTGTATTCTTCCCATGTTTAACAGATGCGTTCCTCGTCTGGATGGCCTTTTCTACCCCTCTTCTGACAAATAAGTCTGTATAATGTAAGTATACACACACAGTAGTCTAAGTCTACATGAGGGAGGGGTAAAAGGTGGGACAGATGTCAAGGTTATGTGTGAGCTCATGATAATTATGCTCAGAGCTTAAACAATTGAACCATCAAATGTAATCTCGCTCTCACTCACACACACACACACACACACCCTGTGTAATCTAAGGAAGAGGTAAAGGTATAGTCAGTCTAGCATTGAAGGTGTGGGAATTGCGAATTGACATTTCCCCATTGAAAGTCTATGGCTATTGGAAAGGCATTGAATTGTATGCATATATTGTTATGGTTTAAAACATAGCAATAGTATCAAAAATATTTTCTCAGGTAATCTAGTCTGAAGCAGTCTGTAATGTTAGTTTGGTGTCTCTAGCTCAAAAGTTTTGGGGCAGGGGTGGGCAGAGAATAATAATATGAGCAAGTCGACTCAAATTACATAAGTGTTGCTGTTACAAGCACACTAAAACCTTAAAAGTATTAGCTCTGGTTAGTTCAGTAGCATTTGTGTGTGACTAATTGCATTAGTAAGTCAACTTGCCTGGAAAAATACTAATCTGTCAATGATTTATTGTGTACAACATGAACTATGCACATAAGTGAACAGCTAATTCCATATATATTTATTCTATTTCATTATAACATGGTCATAATATTTTAAAACCCCTGAAAATGTCATATTGATAGGACATTCCGATCTTTAGATATTTCAGTTTCTGTTTGTCCACCTGTGTCATTTTGGTGTCATTTTGGAAAATGCTTTGTCACTGACCTGTGCATTATCTCCCACAACCTTTTTACCCAGAATTTGGACACA